GCCTCGCATTTCAGAGAAGGTGTGGTTTAACGTTTTCGGTCGGTGGGGGCTCGATATATTTTCCGTTGTTGTGAGGAGAATGCATAATTTAATTTCTAATTTCTTTCGAGCCCTCCTCTCGCTCCTACGTCGGGTTAATTGCTCCCGTGACGGGGTACATGTGAAGGGAAAGCAGAACTCCTGCTGGGAACCTCGTTCCCAGGGCCTTTTCCCTGGCTCGGGGACCCCGCGGATACCGCCCCCCAAGACAGGGAAAAGGCCCTGGGAACGAGGTTGTCCTGCTTGGTAGCCACTCAGCAGCTATCCGTCACGCTGCTGAGATCGAAATTGTGTCTTAGTCTGTACTAAGGACTTGGTAGTCCATCAGGACAATATCCGAAAGTTAATGATTTTCTTTACTCTTATCACTTGTCTTCTTGATAATGTATTGAAATTGTAGGGAGAAATAAGATGTTGATCACCGTTGGGAAACTGAGCTTTTTTATCAGGGTCTTTCTTTGTCACTCTGACGGTGCCTGAAGCGAGCGAGACTTAAGGAGAGACAGGGGAAAGGGGTACATTTGGAAACAGATAATCTTCCCATTGAAGTCTGCTAGATGACACAAGATAAAATGTTCTTCTGAGCTAGAAAGCTCTTTCAAATAGCTACCGGCACCTTAGTGAGCACGTGTTTTCAAAACTGGTTTATTGCAATTAGTGGTCCACATCAGAAACAAGCCCTGCGAGATACGAAATTGTTGTCTAACTATTACAAAGCAAATCCGAATGGTGAAAAACCAACATGGTCGTCGTGGAAATTACCTAGATGTAAAACAAGCGGAAAAATTGTAAACATAATTTGATCGCCTTTTATATGACCCTTGAGTGGGGCATTTGAACAAGATTTTTGGCCGTGCGGATGGGAATTTCGCCCACCGAAAATTTTTAAGAACCTTTCTTATAACAACGTTGGGGCTGAGATAATCTCAAAATATTTTAAAACATATTTAAGGACACAACCCATGTTGAGAGTCATCGCTAGAGGAAATTTATTTTGATGTTTTGAAAAAAACACCATGAAAAGGGGTGTCGGGCTCTCCGAGCAGAGGTACTGCAATGTCACAAAACGAGATGATAATAGTTAACACTTTTATTACATTGTATTTGATTTACTTGGCTTTTGCTCACATGCAACCTGTATAATGTTCCGGACTGTTCTGTCTTCAGTCTTTAGTTGTTTGCTCTTCCTCCTACTACAAATACTACTTCTGCTCAATAAAATCTCATTTTTTTACCGCGTTCGCTTATATGTTTTTTTTTTCGTCGATCATGATAATCATTTTCACAATCATTTAATTTGTTTCACTATGATAAGGAATAGATTCGATTAGAAAACATTATTACATAAATCAAAGCCATTTCTTGTCCGTAAGTCATATAGCATGCAAGGCTATGACTGATGTGATCTCTAGAGTAAGTTATAAAGTAAAACTAAACATTTATAAAATAGAAGTCGACTTCATGTCAACTTTAAGTCAACTTTAAGTCAACCTTTTCGACCAGGGGTATAACACGCCCAAGACCTAATTCATGATTGAAAGCCAAACCTCTAATAGCTTATTTATTGTTAAGAAAGTAAAACCATATACCAATTCTACTCAAGCTTGTCGCATAAAAATCTGGAGGTGGGACATATCTCTTATACTGTAATTCTCCGGAGATATCAAGTCTCCTCTTAGACTGGAGCAACCTGGGAACTTATGAAGAAATCGAGAAGTCTAATAACCTTGTAAAGAAGGTTAAACTTATAAGGACAAAAGAGGAACGTTACTCGGGAGATCACAAAATACTTTAGATTAAGATATTTTATAATTCTCATGCATTTTACAACATTCCAGTCTCAATTCATTACATTCACGCGGGCTTTATTGAGATTCTATTTTTTCAAAACCTCATTTCCGGTACATGCGGAAACACCCTCCAGTCATTAAATCATAATCATTTAAACCCCAAATTACAGCAAACACGTCATTTACTGATATTTCACAATTTAAAATAGAAGTTAGAAATTCACGCAAAATTTCCTGTAATAACACTATGAACTCTGGTAAAACTGAATGTAAACTTAGGTCTTTCCAGTAACCTGCTGCTATGAAAGATATAGTTGAACATAAACACGTGTTCATAATTTTGCTGCAGGTTCAAACATCCTCACTTAACACTGGTCAAAACAAAAACTACCTATTGACTTTCAGTACTGTGATGGTTCTCCTCAATAGAAAAAAAAAATTCACCCTGGAAAGAGTTTAAAAGGTTCACCGTGGTACAATCATTCTTCTCATCCACCGCAAACCTTTTGTAGCTCATAAAAACTTCTCCAATTTAACACAAAGTATTAGTATTATTATTATTATTATCATTAGATGATTACCCTAATACTATGGGGTAATTTGAAGACAATAAAAAGTATATCGTTAACAGATTTTGGATAAGAGAGCAAGAGTGAAAGTAGATCATCCACACAAAATCAATGCACAACGCCACTTTCTTGCAATAAATGATATCTCTAGTAAATATATTGTCACTTCTCCTTGTTTACTATAGAACGGCGCACAATGAAAATTACCTAACACCAACTTTTATAGGAAATCAGCGAATATTGGGAATCCACAGTCGACCAACACATCATAAAGCTGTCCAACGTTCCAATATTGCCGTCTTCGACTGTATTTTAGTGCCTTCTTAAATGGCTTGAAACGTCGCTTGTCCAGAAGACGGATCTCTGATGGCGTCACACCCAATCTCTCAGCAACCATAATCCACTCGTCACCGCCTATAAAATGAACATAACTTTACAAATTGTCCAACTTTATTCAACTCTCACATTGAATTTCGTTCGAGACCTCTTTTATTGAGACCGCCATTTTGACGTTAATAAGTTCAGACTGGGACGAAAAGTGCAGCTACGTTTCGAAAACAAGAAAAATCCCATGTAAAACTCCGAAAAGAGNCCTCTTGTAGTCGATTCACGACCTCGTCTGCATCACATGATTTTGACAGAAGAGCGTCTTGAACGGAAGAAGGTAAGATAAGCGCCTGCCCCTCACTTGTTTCCAAGCCCTCCGTATCTGGCTCTGTAGTTTCTAAAGAGACTTGTTCCAACTGCAGATCTTCTTGTAGTTGAACAACAACATCTTGTGAGTCGCATATGTGAGGACGAAGAGGGTCTTGATCTGCAACAGGTAAGGCGAGAGCCTGTTCTTCAGCTTTCCCTTCTTGCACTGGAATAAACACTAAATGTCAAAAACTAAGATAAAAAGAATTATAATGATAATAATAACTGAGTAAATAAACTGATAGAGAAATGTTTAAGGTATTCACAAGCGCAACACAACGCCAAAGGTGAAGGTTACCTTTCACAATCCGCAGAGGTCTTCCCTCGCTTTCGTTCGTAGCTTGCTGTTGTGCAAAAATAGGGAAAAGAAATGAATATGAAATAATAATTGTCATAAGGTAGCTCGCAATTTTGTCTTCATCGTCATCCGTTATGTATATGAACCAGATGATAGCATATTCTATAAGACTTATATTTGCAATAATTATCATATTGTTCTTTTGTAAAACAAAAACTGTGAGCCCAAAGTCAATCGAATGACGCAGTGCCGTTTCTGGCATCACAACGATGGCAAGGCCGTGCCGACATTATTCAAGGAAATCAGAAAAATATTTGCACTCTTCAGAAAGGGACCTTTTCATTTGTTAGCAGCCTAGAAAATATGAAATGTATTTACCTTTTTACTTGGTGGTACAGACCAAGAATGAAACTTCTTCACTTGAGCCCTGGTTTCCTCGGTATCAGGCGACGTCCGTTTGGCAGCCATGTTTTGCCTTTTCTTTGCTTCTTTTCGTGCTATTTCATAGCGGTTCTCAAAATAGGATCGAACAACAGAGAGAAAACGCTCTGCCTTGGACAATACTTCTACCACTCTTCGGCAGAGCTCATCATCAAAAAGGGATGAAAGCCGGGAGCCTTTCTTACAATAATTAGAAACGGCCCCACACAAGCGACCTGTTAAAAACTCTTTAAAGGCTCTTGCAAAACGTTTGATTTTTAAATAGTAAAATCTGAGTTTTGCGGAAAGAAAGCCTTGGTCAGTTCTTTTCTTTTCTTCAACAAAAGATCGGAGGACTGGATGGACTCTAAAGGCAGTTTCCGTATCTTCGACGCAGGATTCTATTAAAGATTTCCGTTCCAGTGATCGAAGAATTTTCTTTGTTCGGTCTGTCTTCAAATGTAACACGGTCGTCGCATCTGTTATCCCAAAACATCCCTGAAAAGCAGCCAGTGACACGAATGCGCGTTTCTCTTGATCTGTAAGTCTTTGAAAAGATTTGTCTATCATCCTCTTCAGTCGCGTATCATCGGAAAAACTTGCATTGTCCAAAACTTCAACGAGGGGCAAAATCTTCAGTTCTTCTAAAAGTTCGTCTGGCGATGCATTTTCTTCTCTGATAATGCTACACATCAATCGTATTGCCAGAGGAACCTGTCCACATACCTTAACTATGCTACTGCAATCATCTCCAGAACAATTTGGCAATAGGGAATGCACTAAATTCACCGAGGATACTTCATCTAGTACACCAACTCTTTCATGATGGACAGGAACCTTGTGGCTCAGGTAGTCCAGACGTTCACGAGTAGTGAAGAGAAGCTTGATGTGATTGCATTCAGTGAGAATCTCCTCCGTAAATCGAAGTACCTCTTCCCTGAGTTTGGCATCTCCAGATTCCAGAACGTCGTCAGCATTATCCAGAATTAGGACGTGGCGATCCTGCAGCTGCCGTAAACAACCGATGAGCCAATCGGGGGCGGAGATTTGAGGATGAGGTACCTGTTTAGTGACGGCAAATTTACTGAACAGCTTTGACACTAATTCACCTTTACTTGTCATTCCGCGAAGAGATACTAAGTAGACTGGAATCTCCATCGCTCGCAAATGATGTGCTACGTTAATGGCCACTGACGTCTTGCCAAATCCTGGTGGACCCCAGACATCAACCAGTCGAGTGTCTCCCGCTGTTAAATGATCCAGGATAACTTGGCTCTCTTCTTGGCGACCAATAAAGTGTGGTATCTTATCAGGTATGCCGGAGTATGGAAACAGCGGACCTTAAAGCGAAACAAATGAACAGGCACTTAAATTAACAGGTATATGCAACTGAGTCGGGAACCAGAAGAACTTCAAGATAAACAACTACAATCCATCAAATATCTCTCTCGCTGGCCCGTCTGGCGACGCCGCCAAAACTGGAGAATAAGAAAAAACATTTACTTCGTTAACTTCGAACGCCAAACAACACCACAGCAATCACTCTCAGGGTGAGACACCTTGCGGGCTTAGCCGAGACAACCTTGCACAACTCGATGTGAAACTAATACATATCGACATCATTTAACTCCTTATGCACGCGGGGACTCTTATGATGCACTTTGGGCCAAAACTCTGTGGAAACATTAAGTTTTTAACTTGCCAAAAAATTAGTTTCCCTTTCACGAACACTTAATTGAGACATTCTCTCTAGTCTGTTCACAGGCTCTCTATTTTGTCTTGAGTTCGTCGAGATCGCAAGCAAAATATTAACCACGGGCAGAAGCATATCACCTAGTCTAGGTGATATGCTTCTGCCACGGGGTATATGAATGAGCCAAAACGCAAGGGCGTTTTCGCCCGCCTCAGGGTCACTTTCGCGCGCTTGAATAAAAATAACTTGCCGATGGAAAAATAAATGTCTGGGGACAGACTTCACTCTTTCTGCCGGTCTTGAAATTGAAAACACTTTTACCTTCTCGACGCAAACATTGCCTAGCATTGGTCCTACAACTTTGTATGATCAATAGCGTTAGATTTAAAATTTTGATGGCATCAAGTTTAAGTTCAATGATTCATGGCTGTATTCTAAGGCGACTAAAGAGCACTAGAGCCGGAAAGTGACCAAAAAGACCATCAAGTTTAGACTTTAGCAAAAACAGAAAGACAAAACTAAATGGTAAAATCGGAGATTCGTTGCCATGGCAAGAATGGTTCATACTACCTCTTATTTTGGCCGTAATTACACCTTTTAGTACTATACTGCTAAATTCAGTCACACGCATATGATCTTAGAGTTATTGCCATGACGAGAGAGGGTGGGTCACGTTAAGAAAGAACACAAAAATATAAGTGGAAACTGTGCCCAGACTATAACCATTTCTCCTTACCTTTTGAGCGTTCCTCTTGCATTGCAATATCTGCGTTTAGTGCCTTCATCTCTGACAGCAGACCTTCCATACTCGTCATCACGTGTGTGAACCCATCTTGAACACATTCAACGCCTGATTCGACATCTGTCAGTTTTCTCTTCAAAATTGCTAATTCGAACTCGATTTTGTCAATCTGTTTGAGCTTGACGGCAGCACCTTTTCCTCTCTTTAACTTTTCCTTCAACTTGTGTATCCTTGCGGGGGGGAAGTCTTCTCCAAACAACTTTCTAATCTCATCGATCCTGGTGGTGTCCTGACCAAGTGCAGTGAAGGCATCCTTTATCAGCTGCATGTAACCATCAAAGGTGTCGTTGTCGATTTTTTCCGTACTACTATCGCAAAAAAGCAAAATTTGCAACAACAACAAAAAAAATATTCCACGGTGTCCAGTGCTTCCGGGAAAATATTCAGGGCGGCTAACAAGCGATAATCCAGGTCTGTTAACACACCGTCTTTCAGCCAAAATGCGGTTATACACGTCTCCAGTCCCGTCTTGCATGGCGAAGGTTTGATCAGAGTGAGTGGCTTTGACCGGAGCTGAGATTGTAGAATTTGCGGTTGGACACTCCTCGTTGGACTTGTTCAGTGTTGGCGCAACTCCAATTTTATCCCCCTTTTTTTCAAGAACATTGCTCTTAACCGTTTCAGGGTCGTCGTACATTGGAGTGCCAGGTGTAGTGGCAAGACGCGCGGCGACTGGGAACTCATCAAGCACAATAGTTGCTAACTTGAAAAAGTTCAGTCGCTCAGGAGAAAATGCCATTGTGAAAACTTTGAGTGTATCCTGGCGAATATTCTTTAATCAAGGCAACATTCTGAAACACGGGAAACTGAATTAGTTCGTTTTGAGACAGTCCAGTTGAACCAAAAGTCAGACCATCTACAAAAAGAAACAGTTTTGTTCAAGAAATAATGGAATTTATTAACAGGGAACAAGGGAGAAAAAGTGACATTTTTAACACATCAAAGGAACATGTCACCCACTTACCCCCCTTCCCCCTTCCTGGGAGCCCCCATTATTACTAAACAGCCAACCACAAAAAATAATGTTTGGGGACCCAGATAGAATATGTGCCAACTTTCGAACTACATCTTTGGAAGATTTAAAAACGTTAATTTGTTTCCCAAATCGTCGCGAAAGGGTTCGTTACAAAGATATGTCAATGCTCCCGTTATATTCTTAATGCTCGGAAGTCTTTGTTTTTTCATCTTGGAATACCTCTGGTGGCAATTGGTAGCCGAGTTTCTTGGGCCAACCTCAGAAACTTTGCTGTAAAATGAACTTTGTATTGAAGCTTTGCACGCGTTTTATACTTTGTTGCACTCCAGGAATATCGTTCTTTAGTTTTTCAGTCGCTGCGTTAGTAGTTACATAAGGATGGAATTAAGCCTTGTTTCAGACTTCTTGAAATTTAATTAGAACTTCCCTTGATTAAGGTATCAGTATACCCCAAATGACCACCATTCGTTGGCGCCGCTTTACGGTCGGACGTTTGAGGCAAACCCCAGTAAAGTGTATATTTTCTGAAAGCTTAAGAATTGTAGATTACGAAGGTATATCCATTGAAATAAACACAATTAAGGTTTTTCGAATATAGCGCCCTATTTCCCAAAGTACAGAGGTTCACTAATCAAGTTCGTTTCCGATTGGATTTGAGCGGGAGGACGCCATCAACATAGCTATGTCTTCTTGACACCTTTCTCTCAAAAAGGGTGTCGGGATATTTTGATTACTTGTCTGGTTTGTTTTTGGCACGCAGTTAAACTTTGCGAGTTGATAAAACAGTCATAACTTTTGAAGGAAGCAAAAAATATAAATTCCCCGACAGAGGTTTTCTGCGTGATTATCGGGCAACGTTCTCTCCAAATTTTAGCGAAAAACGTTAAAAACTCACCGGAACGAACTCGAAATGTGTGCTTCACTTGCTGAAAATTTCGTCTCGAGATACGAAGGAAAATACACATTGGGCATTCTTTCGGTGTAACGAGAATTACACAAAACGTGTGAAACTTAATGACGCATTGATCGATAAAGCGAAGGCTCAAATGTAAGATTTGAGACTGAAATCTTACAATGGAGTCTCAAATGTTGCCTCCGGTGGGAAATATCCTTTGCAAAATCTGAATTCCACCGCTCGTGCGCCCAGGATAGCAAGAAAATAATTTACACTTCTGTTTTTCCCTTCGATCTTTAAAACGCCTTACCTTAGAGATGCTGTAGACAACGAAAGAGCGCACTCGTAAACAACGTGAGGGAAACGGCCACGAGATCCCGGGGGGGGGGGGG